CCCCCCAACTTTGGGACTTTGGGTAGCTAATGTCCAAGTTGTTAATCAATCTCTTTTGAGATATGAAAGAGCAGATGAAGCAAACAAGAAAGGAACACACAGAGGGCAAGATTCATGCCACATGATGGACAAGGAACCTGGGACTAGAGACTGGAGTCAAGGACCCCCCTCCAGAGCCAACAGAGGAAGAGCCCACCATTACAACTGGTGCACTGAACTCGGATGGCTCGTCTCCAAGAAGCACAGTCAGAATACTCTAGAAGTAAGGATGACAAGACTTCGTCACATGTACTTTAGACATATTACCTGGAGGAACCAGTGCCTGGAGAAGGACATTGTGCTCAATAGAGAGTCAGTGGAAAAGAGGAAGATGCTCAATGAGAGAGATGAACACAGTGACTCCAACAAGGGGCTAAAAGAAAACAGTTGTGAGGATGCTACAGGTGTGAGCTGTGTTTTGTTCTGGTGTGCACGGGGTTGCTATGGGTCAGAACCAACTCGATGGCACCTAGACACGACAACAGCTTCTGGAACTGTGAGAATACATTTTGGTGGACACCAAGCACTTTCAGCATTTCTTGTTAGAGCAGCATTGGATAACTAAGACGCCAGTCAGTGAGTAGTTGTTCGAGAAATGAACCTTGACCTAGGGCTTGCTCCACATGTAAGCAAAGAGCATGCTTTGCACAATATTGTCTTGCTTGTTGTTATCATTGTTACAACTTCAGTGAGATGGACTGACATCATGGTGGCAACTACGGACTCAAACCTAACAAGAGAGGATGAGGCAGAACGGGGCAGTGTTTCATTCTGTCGTGTGTAGGAGTTTCCATGGCTCAGAGAAGATTTGAGGGCCCCCAACAATGCAGGTGTATATGTATATGTCCACTTAACTCTCAAATGTTGTTGTCAGGTGCCGTTGAGTTGGCTCAGACTCATAGCCACCTTATGAACAGAATGAAACACTGCCCCGTCCTGCGTCAACATTACAGTCATGTTACGTGTAGCCCACTGCTGCTGCCGCTGTGTCTATCCATCTAGTAGGGGGGTCTTCCTCTTTTTTGCCGACCCACCACTTTACCCAGCATGATGTCTTTCTCCAGGGACTGGTCCTTCCTGATAGTATGTTTGAAGTATGAGAGACGAAGTCTGGCCATCCTGGCTTCTAAGGAGCATTCGGGCTGGACTTTTTTCAACACAGATTTGTTTGTTGTGCTGGCAGTCCATAGTACTTTAAATATTCTTCTCCAAAACCATATCTCAAATACATCAATTCCTCTATGGTTTTCCTTATTCATTGTCCAACTTTCACATACATATGAGGCTATTGAAAATGTCATAGCTTGGCTCAGGCTCAAGCTGACAGCTTTGCTCTTGAACATTTTAAAGAGGTCTTGTGTAGCAGATTTGCCTAATGCAATATGTCATTTGATTTCTTGACTGCTTCCATGAGTGTTGATGATGGGTCTGAGCAAAATGCAGTCTTTGACAACTTCAATCTTTTCTCCATTTACCAAGATGTTATTTATTGGTCCAGTGGTGGTGGGTTTTTTTTTTGTTGTTGTTGTTGTTTTTATGTTGATGTACAACACCAAAGGCTGTGGTCTTTGATTTCCATTAGTATTTTAAGTCCTCTTTGCTTTCAGCAAGCAAAGTTGTATCATCTGCATATCTCAGGTTATTAATGAATCTTCTTTCAATCCTGATGCCACATTCTTCTTCATATAATTCAATTTCTCATATTATTTGCTCAGCATACAGACTGAACAAGTACGATGAAAGAATATAACCTTGGAGCACACCTTTCCTGATTTTAAACCATTCAGTACCCCCTTGTTCTGCTCTAACAACTGTCTCTTTGTACATATAAAAGTTTAATATGAGTACAATTAAGTGTTCTGGAATACTTATTTACAATGTTGTCCATAGCTTGTTATGATCCACACAGTTGAAAGCTTTTGCAAAGTCAATAAAGCACAGGTAAACATCTTCCTGGTTTTCTCTGCTTTCAGGCAAGATCCGTTTGACATCAGCAATGATCTCTACAACCTCGCCTGAATCTGACATGAGCCTCTCTATCAATGTACTGTGGTAGCTGCTTTTTAATTATCTTTAAAAACATTTTACTTGCATGTGCTATAAATGATATTGGCAAATGACTTCCACATTCTGCTGGATCACCTCTCTTTGGAATGGGCACAAGTATGGATCTCTTCCAGTCAGTTGGCCAGGTAGCTGTCTTCTAAATTTCTTGGCATAGATGAGTGCCTCCAATGCTGCCTCAGTTTGTTGAAAGATTTCAGTTTATATTCCATCAATTCCCAGAGCCTTGTTTTTCACCAATGCCTTCAGTGCACCTTGGACTTTCTTCCTTCAGCATTATTGGCTCTTGATCATATGCTACCTCTTGAAATGGTTGAACATCGACCATTTCTTTCTGGTACAGTGATTCTGTATACCCCTTCCATCTTCTTTTGATGTTTTCTGCATCATTCAATATTTTGCCCAAAAATCCTTTAGTACTCTTTTTGGTACAGTTACTATGAGTATTTAAAGGAACTAAATATTAAACTTTAAGTATGGAAAAAATTATTTGTTTACTATTTTCTCCCAGGAGAAGAAGGGTCCTGAGGACACATATATCACATATATGTGATTTACACTCATATCACATAACATACATATACATCACATAACATATATTATACATTGTTTATTATATGTACTTCTGGTAGCGTAGTGGTTACGAATCGGGCTGCGAACCATAAGGTCAGCGGTTCGAAACTACCAGCTGCTCCGTGGGAGAAAGATGAGGCTTTCTACTCCCGTAAAGATTTACACCCTCGGAAACCCTGTACAGGGTCGCTATGGGTCGGAACCGACTCGATGGCAAACAACAACAACAACAACATATGCACCATATAAAAGTAATTTATCTACATGTAAATGATATACTCAAATCTCTATTTCTTGAGAGGTTAATTTTCAATGGGATGTACTGTTGTAATTGTTGTTAAGTGCTATACAGTCATTTCAACTCATAGCATCTTTGTATAGGGTTTCGGATGTACTCTTGTTACCTTCTATTTAAGGGTGGCATTGTGCTCAGCTACTAACTGAACAGTTGGTGACTTGTACTCATTCAGGGGTATTACAGAAGCAAGACGGTGAGAGGTCAGAGACTGGAAAGCCCGAAGGAGCAGTTCTACTCCATACAAAGGGGGCGGGGTCCCCACCAGTCATCATCAACCACACAGGGAACCAACAACAAAGATCAAGAAACCATGATGCTCAATGGAACATTGAGCCCCAAACAGTGCCTGACACAAAACAGCAAAAAACAAAACAGTTGCCATGGGTTCAACACATTCATGGCCACCGCACATGTGCCAGAGTAGAACTGTGGTCCGCAGTGACTGATATTTCAAAAGCAAATAGGCCTTTTCCCTAGGCACCTCTACGTGTACTTGAACCGCCATTCTTTCCATAGTTATTGTTAAGTGAAGTAGAGTCTGTGTTGTAGGGTTTCCAAGAGGGCACTTGGTGGGTTTTGACCTCTGACCTTGTGTTAGGAGGCCAGTGCTTGTCCTACATCAACACATCAGGACTCTAACCTTTCCATTGCTGTTAAGCGCCATCAAGTTGGTTCAACTCATAGTAACCCGATTCCTGAGGAACCGCCGACCTGGCAATCAGCAGTCAGTCCAGTGCTTATCAACCTTTCCATAAGGCATCCCCAGACCATGTGTTGAAAGAAATGAGTAGAAATTGCTTCAGGGACGAGATAAGTAAGGTCTGGACTAATTTCTCTCGTTGGTTCCGGAATCAGAGGCGTGGTAACATGGGGAGAAGTTGGTGGGGAGGTAGCACCTGAGCTCCCGTTCCCGTCTTTCTCGGCCTCAGTTTCCCCTAGGTAATGGGGGTGGGGGGTGGGGCTAGACTTGGCGCTATCCAAACCCCTGCCCGGACCCTCTGGTGGAGCAGGCCCCGGCAGGACATCTGTTTGGGCTGGGGGCTGCACGCCTTCACCACTCACCTTTCCGATGTTTCCGCTGCTGTACGTGTCCAACAGGTTAATAAACACCCTCTGGATCCGGATAACTTTCTCAACCGGAGCGGGAACTTCTTCCTCAGTCATGGTGGTAGGCTCCTTGGTTGCTAAGGTGAGAGCGTCCTCTTGGTTGTCAGGGAGGTAGAGCCCGGGCCTTGGGCCGGAAAGGTCTGGCCGCTCTTAGGGGCAGAGCTAGAACGTTAGGCGGGCTGCTGTCGGGGCGGGGCGAGGGGGCGGGGGCGGGGCGTTCCCATGGTTACGGCGAGGACACCGGACAGGACAGGGCAGGGCAGGGCGGGGCAAGAGGGGGGCAAGTATGCCAGGCGAGACGTTGCTCGAGCTGATCTAGGGAGCTAGGAAGACGTTGCTCTTTGGAGGCGGGTCGCATCCTGGTGGTGGAACAAGTCATTGGGCCATTCCCAGAGACGGGGCTTAGGACACTAGACGGGGCTTAGGACACTTTACGGCAACGTAAGGGCCTGGGCAGGTGTTCCAGGGCCGGGGATTAAGACGATGGACCTGCCGCTTTGTGTGGGCAGGGCAAGGACTCTGGGTGGGCGTTCCTGAAAAAGCAAAGTTGTGTTATTTGCATATCAGAGGTTGTTAAAGAGTCTTGCTCCAGTCCTGATGGCGCATCTTCGTCATATAGGCCAGTGTCTCTGATTATCTTCTCAGCCTACAAATTGAGAAAGTATGATGAGAGGCCACAACCATGGCACACCTTTTTTTCATTTTAAACCACTCAGTAAGTAGTCTCTCATTCTGCCCGTCTGTATACGTGTTACATGAATCTGACTTGACTGGCTGTTCCCTGTCAATTGCAACCTATTTTGAAGTATCTTCTGCAAAATTTTTACTTGCAAATGATATTAATGATGTTGTTGATCATCTCCCCATTCCATTGGATCACCTTTCTTTGGAATGAGCGCAATTATGAATCTCCTCCAGTAGGCTGGCCAAGTAGCCATCTTCCAACTTTCTTGGCATTAACAGTGAGCTCTTCCAGCATTGCATGGTTGCTGAAGCATCTCAATTAGTATTCTCTCCATTTCTTCCTTCAGTACCAGATTCCTGATCGACGGCACCTTCTGTCATGGTTGAATATCACTGTCAGAAGTGGGCTATCTCAGTTTGTCATACAGTTGTGGTCTTGGTGTTGCTATGATACAGGAAGCTAGGCCATGGATATTTTACAGACCACTCACCCGTAGTGGACGGGTTTCAGCAGAGCTTCCAGACTAACAGAGTGTAAGGAGGAGAGGTGGACCACCACTTTGGAAAGGTGAACCACTGAAAACGTAATGAATAGCAACGAACAGTGCCTAATAGTGTGCCAAAAGATGAGTCCCCCAAGCGGGAAGGCGCTCGAAACATGACTGGGGAAGAACTACCGCCTTAAAGTAGAATTGACTCTAATGACTTGAATGGAGCAAAGCTCTTCATTTGCTGATGGGACACGATTCAAAATGAGAAGAAACAGCTGCACAAATCCATAATAATCAGAACCTGGAATATATGAAGAATGAATCTAGAAAAAGTGGAAGTCATCAAAGACTAAATGGAATCCATGGAGATTGATGTGCTAAGTGCTACTGAGCTGCAATGGACTGGTATGGGGCATTTTTAATTGGGCAGTCATGTCTTACTCTGTTGCAAATGACAAATTGAAAAGGAGCAGTGTTGGATTCATTGTTACAGCAGTTCAGGATCTAGAGTACTATGCTCTGTGATAGATTAATATCCATGCTTGCAGAGAAGGCCGGACTCCATGTGTGGCACTGCAGGAGGATAATGTAATGGACCACAAGGTCGGTTTGAACAGCAAGATCAGCGGTTCAAACCCACCAACTACTCCTCGGAAACCTTATACAGGGCCACTCTAAGGTGGAACTGATATGATGGCACTTAACAACAACAAAGGAAGATCAGTTAATATGACTATTATTCAAATTTCTACACCAATCACTAAAGTCAATAATGAAGAAAGTGAGGACTTCTACCAACTACTTCAGTTTGAAGTGGATCAAACATGCAATCAAGATGCATTGATAATTACTTGTGATTAAAATGACAAAGTTGGAAACAAAGAGTAAGGATCAGTATTTGGAAAATTTGGTCTTAGTATAGAAATGATGTTGGAGATCACATGATAGAATTTTGCAAGACCAACAATTTATTCATTGCAATTACCACTTTTTCAACAGCATAAAAGGTACACATGGACCTCACCAAATGGGATAAACAGGAATCAACTTGACTGCATCTGTGGGCAGAGACCATAGAAAAGCTCTGTATCATCAGCCAAACAAGGCCAAGGGCCAACTGTGGGACAAACCATCAATTGCTCATATGCAAGTTCAGGCTGAAGCTGAAGAAAATAATTTAAACAAGTCCACAAGAGCCAAAATTCTACCTTGAATATATCCCACTTGTACTGAGAGAGCATCTCAACAAGAGATGTGATGCATTGAACACTAATGATCAAAGACAAGATGGTCTGTGGGATGACATCAAGAATATTATAAAGGAAGAAAGAAAAAGATCATTAAAAAGGAGAAAGAAACAAAAAAACAAAATGTATGTCTTAAGAAATTTTGAAACTTGCTCTTGAATGCCGAGAAGTTAAAACAAATGGAAGAAATGAGGTAAAAGAGCTGAACAGAAAATTTATAAGGACAGCTCAAGAAGATAAAGTCAAGAATTATAATGAAATGTGCAAAGAGCTAGAGTTAGAAAGCCAAAAAGGAAGAACACACTCAGCATTTCTCAAGATGAAAGAACGGAAGAAAAAATTAAAGCCTCAATTCGAAATACTGAAGGATTCTATGAGCAAAATGTTGAATGATACAGAAAGTATCAAAAGAAGATGGAAGGAATACAGACTCACTGTACCAAAAAGAAATGGTTAGCAAAAAGATGGAGACATTCTAAGCGCCCATCTATGGAAGAATGGATAAACAAACTGTGGTACATACACACAATGGAATACTATGCTACCCTGAAGAATAGCAAGGAAGCAGCAAGCCACCGCATGACATGGATGAACCTTGAGGACATCATGCTGAGTTAAATCAGTCAGTCACAAAAGGAGAAATACAGCATAGAGCCATTATTGTAAAAAATTAAGAAAAAGCACCCACACTGAAAGGGGAGAAAATGTCCCTTTTATTTTTATTTTTTTGTTGGTTGCGGGGGTGTATGGGGTGGGGTGAGGGGGAGGGAAGGGAAGATGGAGCACAGGGTAGGGAATAGGCACAGGATAGTAGAACACAGGGAATAGACAGGGTAGTTTGGTGCTGGGGGTGGCAATACACTAGAAGGGGAAGGGGAAAGGAAAAATAAGGCGGATGGGAGAATAGCTAGGCAGGTTTACATGGGCTAAATGGGACAGAGATAAATAACGATATAAGCACAAACCTGGAACAACAGGGCTCGTGGCTACAAAGATTGAGGCATGGTTTGAATGGGTAAAAGTGGGGAAATGATGCTAATATGCTTGACTGTCTTTTGAATCTTGGTTTCCCTTGCCTACTATTGTAAAATAGACACTTGAAGGGGAGAGAGAGGAATAGCCAGAAACATCACCTGAGAAAGCTTGTAAGTCCGTCTTCAGCCTATAACTGTTTGGAATAACTAAAATGGGGCTAGAACTTGCCCAATGAAGGAGGCTCCCTGCAGAGCTTTTGCAATGCATGTGGAATCCTGATCATCATCCAGAATCTTCTGA